ATCGCGTTTCGATGTACTCGACGACTCGTCTCTATAGGCGATGTGGGGGGGAGGGAGGCTGACTNCGGGGTTGTATCATCAATTTAAATCCTCTGAATAGTGACGAGCAATACGTGAAAGTACTTGGCACGGCCTATTAATTGATGGCGAGGAATCGATTCTGGAAAAAATCAATTTCTTTGATTTTTGAGTTTGGAAGATTTTGAAAAATTTCAAAAGACACGTCTGTCCCGTCGACGCTCTCAAACTTTGGACAGAGATTTTAATATATTTCCAATTAATTGTTCGATAGTGGGAAAAATCTAGTCCAACTTCAAATCGACTCTAAATGATCCATGTGATTTTTTCGAGTATTCGCTGACGCGCGATGTTTGTCTATTTTTGGCTTACATGTACAACATGTAGTTAGTTTTAGCGGTTCTTTGCGTTGTTCTTTCCTGTTTCTCTTTTTTTTTAAATGGATGTACAACCAGCCTCATTTGGAGCTTAACTGAAAAATTGAAACTTTTTTGGCTTTATCAATTATTTGAACAATAAGTTAAAGCACGGCTCAGAGACAGTGGATTTGTTAGTCTCAAAAATCATAGTTCACACTGCAACAAAGATTGCCTGGAGAGATGGATACACCCATGCTTTTTTACACTATCTTTTTAGAATTATACGTCTCACAAGGAGGTATGCTCTTTTGAGCCTAACACTTAAAAACGTAAGTTCAGACTTTATTTCGGAAGCCACAGATAATGTGGAGGGAGGCCAGTCATGAAATTCTTATTGAGGTTTTTTAAAAGAATGCTGCTAGCAGTTCCAGTTCGTTTTTTGAGAATTTTCAAAATTTGAGAGGTGCTCAATTCGCTCCAGACCTCCACAATTTAATTTTTATAAAACCCTAACTTTGTTAAGATGCGGCTTAAAAAGCACCAATGGACTTAATAGTATTATCATTTCAGTTTCGTTACGCGCCCTTGCGGCTTGCGCCATTTTTTTTGGTCCTACATATCGATGGCGAAACTGTAGAAACGCGTCTCGGTTTGCGACGTTACTGATTTCCTGTCTCCCTTTATTTTCTACCCGGAAAACTATTGAACGTAATTTTTTTAAAGCCTCGGTGGCTTTTCTTCTCTACGTGAAGAATATCATATGCAATTTGAAGCCATGATGTTGGTTTGGTTTCCTTTTATGAAATAAAATAGTGACGAATATTTTGAAGTACCGCGACCGAGATACAAACCGCGCCGGCCTTTGCAAATTCACTGTCGATATCGATGGCTAAAATGTGAAACCACATATCTCCGTTTGCGACGTTGGAGATTTCCTGTTATAAACTTAATTTTTTCTTTAGTGAACTAATCAACGTGATCTCTCGAAAAATCCTTGATCTTTCCTCTCTTTTGGCAGAATATTTTATATGAATTTCAAGCTTAATTTCGGTGTTTTCCTCTTCCAAAAAATTTAATAGGAGAGGAAATTATATAGCACCGCAATGCTACCGTGCTACGGAAAAACGCCGTATGAACATTCAAGAGTTGCCAAATTTCTTCTCAGAAAATAGTTATTTTTGCAGAAAGTTATGAATATTTTTCCTTGAAATTTTCAGGAACTTTAGGTGAAATTGCGAACGAAATTATCTAAAAAATTGGAGGAAAAATATTGTCAAATTTTCCCGAAAATCCGTTATTTACCAAAAAACGATGTGGCAACGCCTGAAGGTTCATACGGCGTTCTTCCTTAGCACGGCAGAATTGAGATTTGCAGTTTTGCGCTTTGGCTATCGATATGCTTCAATTGATTACTAATGATAGATTTAAATTGAGGAACTACAGCGCTACCGACCTGTAAGAATCGCCTGTGGCGTATCGATAGAATAACACGTATGCCCCGAACAGAGGCGTGCGGCGTGCTTCGCGATATATAGATTGATCCATCATTTAAACCTATAGAAAAGGATCAATAAAGAGGGTGTTCGCATCGAACACCTTAATAATCGATTCCTTACCATACCTTCATACGGGCAAATATCGATACTCGATCATTCACGCCTCGCCAGTGAAAGGAGATACCCTGAACCGGGATTCGAAACCAAGAGACTAGCCAGGAAGCAGTGGCGTGGCGTGCTTTGCGGTGTATCGATTGTTATGCCATTTAAACATATGGTAAAGAATCGATTAATAAGGTGTTCGCTGCGAACACCCTGTTTATCGATCCTTTTCCATAGGTTTAAATGGCATAACAATCGATATATCGCATAGCACGCCACGCCACTGGAAGGGAGGAGGAAACCCTCATCACTGGCTTGTCCTCGTCAGTTCTCAGTCAAATTTGACACAACGCACCCTGTAGTCTGCTGCTCTCCACAACCCCCCCCCCCCCNGGGTCGACAAAAGATCACCCCAAGCATTATCGCGGCTAAATTTGTCGTTTTCTACTTTTACTCTCTTCGGAATCCCACTTCACATTGTTCATCTGCTGGGGGGAGAAAGTCCGAGAAAAATTCGATATTTTGGGAAGAGATTCCTCCAAGGAAGAGTACTGGCCAAAGTGCTGAGCCACGAATCTCCGTTTGCGACCAATCTGCCGTGATAGCGAAGAGAGCCGTAAGTGCAAAATTTTCGAAAGTTTTCCTCAAAATTCGTCTAAACTCTTTTAGATGAGATTACTGAGACAACTAAAACAGCAAAATTCATCCTAATTTAATGAAAAGGAGACGTATGAAAAAGCCGTAAGTGCACAAAAAATGACATAGTCTTTTTCAAGACAGCCGCAGGTGCATGAGAGCCAATGAAAACAGTGCTTTCCAGTAAAGTGCCGCCCTCTTCTGCCAATTTTTAACCTGCAAATGTGTTTGTTGTGCGTCCAAAACGCAACCACGAAAGCATGCAGAAGATAGCACTTACGGCTGTCTTACCTAACAAGAACCTAGCATGAAAATGAAAAATACCCTTTTTATGTAATGGAAATAAAATCGGTCGATTTTTAATCATCCATACGATTTCTAGGAGTCTTCCGGACGATTAGTGGCAATTTGAGAAAGAGCGGAGGCTTCTTTCAATAAAATGATCTTGTCAAAAGCTTCTGAGCCCATTTTCTCAAAACTTCATTTTTGCACTTACGGCTCTCTTCGCTATCACGGCAGCAATGTTCGAAACTCACAGTCGCCAACGCGCCAAATGCGCCTAAAAAATTGGCCATGGCGCCTAAAAAATGAAGGCTTTGCGCCAACGTGGCCCCTAAAAATTGCCCCCTAAAAATCTGAATTTTCATAATAGGTGATTAGTCGAAATTTCTACTTTTCTTCTTCGACTGTTTTTCCTTGTTCTATTCTTCACAATTTCATTCTAAGTGCTTTTGTTTTCCTCCTAGTTACAGCTACTCATTAGTTCTGTCACGGAAACATCTTGTATCTAACTTATCACTAAATGCGCCGAAATATAAAGGCGAATAAAGTCAATTTGGCCCCTAAAAATCTTCAATGGCGCCTAAAAATCGGGTTTGATGCGTCACATGGCTCCTAAAACTCAAAGGTGAGTTTCGAATACTGTTTGCGACGTTGCAGACTTCCTACCATACTTTATTCTTTCTCGGTAAAACTAATCAACCTATTGGCTTGAAAACTTCCTTGATTTTTCTTCTCGATTAGTAGAATAATATGTAGGAATTTTAATCAATAAAGTTGGCTCGTTTTCTTTCGGAAAAATACAATAGGAGAGGAAATTTTGAAACACCGCGAAGGAGATACGCGGTTTCGTGTTTTGGCCAATTTTTCGATAACGAACTATCTAACTAATTACTGAAGATAAGAATAGATGATTCTCTAAATCAGTGCCGGGTTTATAAATTGTTTTACCTGGTGCTAGATCTATTCAGGCGCCTCGTGAAGAGAAGTTCGAGGATTACCAAACACCGTAAAGCGAAATAGGGACCCAATGAAGGACCCACAAAATATTTAAAAATTTAGAACCTCTCATTTAAAATTTTAAGCACAAATATGGAATACGTTCTGTACTTTTGTTTGCTAGAAATAACATGGGAAATCATAGAATAAAAGTCACAAGTTCTTTTGGTATGTTCGGTCAGCAGTGATGCATGCTTTCTACTTTCTTTCAATTTGATGGCCAAATTTCAACGAAGACATATTCTCCCACATAATATAAGGAAGGCCTCAGTAAGGCCCGTACCTACCGTGCTAGGAGGATAGATACCTCGTCATCTTCCGGCCAAAGTAGCACAAGCGCCACGTGACGTTTAAAAATTTCCGCCGCCATTTTATTTTTTTACAGGGAAATTGTTCAACGAAGCTGTCCGAAAATTGTACTAAATTTTCTTTGTGCTGCCGATAAAATGCAATGAAATTTTCAAACAGATTCAACCGATAATTTCTCTGTAAAAAAAATAAAATGGCGGCGGAAATTGTTAAATGACGCATGGCGCTTAAGATACTTTGGCCCGAAGGTGACGACCTACCGATGCGATTGCAACAGATCGCGTTCCGCGGTACAATTGTTGCCTATGGGCGGTTTTGAAGGCGCACCTCTAGCGGATGATATCTGTCAATAGATTTCACGCATGGTCGATTGGTTCAGCAAAGTTTATGGAGCGAGATCTACGTATTTTTTTCAAATAGCTATAATTTCAAATATTCTATGTATGTTTTTAAATATTTTTAAGTCATTTCCCAAATGATCCATTTATCAAACAAATTCTTTAACTGATGGACGGAATGTTCGCAGTCGCGTCAATGCAATACTTTGTGCCTATTCAAAATAAAATTCATTTAACATTTTCCAGAATCTTGACTTGCCAACTAAAATTCCGAACAAAATGGAAGACCAGCGAGTTTCTCTTAAAAATATACCTAACGCTTGGTAATACAAATTTATCGCATCAACCAAATCAATCAATTAGATGGCGTGAATGATAGGGGAAATCACAGAGCAACATAGTATCGAATTTGATTATAGGCACATCAAGATGTTTCAAAGAAAAATGTGTAAAATTAGTTGTCTGTCCGGCATTCGTGGATTGATAATGAATTAAAACACACATTTTTTAATTAAGTGGGAACTCGCGTCTTACAAGTCAATGTCGGGATAAGCTCTGAAGCGTTTTAGCTCTCCGTGTAGATTATGGTCCATCTGAAAATAAACTTGAGCTCTTCTCAATTATATGGGTTATTTGTAAGTTACCGCCAGGAAAAGTTGCGTAATTTTCGGCCTTGCTCTAAGTCAACATTTTCGTCGCAGCCAATACTTTTTAATTCTCAACATTGATTCAGGCAGCACGAGATAATTCACAAGAAAGAACACACACCTATATTAGTACGTAAAAAACCTTACACAGAAAAGTTCAAGATTGTCTCGTGGTGCAAAAAAGTTGATTCGAGGCCAAGTTTTTGAAATTCACTAGTGCTTGTAGAATCGCTGCGGTGTCACATTATATCTCTCAAATTCCAGAGGAACCATAATAGTTATGAGTTTATACTTTCTATTGCTTCGTGTTTTATTATCGAACGTTTTGCTCCCTCTCTCCTTCCACACTTAATTATCCGCCTATCCTATAATAGTGCTAAACTTTTATCTACTTATTTCAATAAATAAGAAAACTTTCTCTCTGTCTGTCAATCTGGAATGAAGAATGTGCAAATCCAGGTTACTGATGAAATATGAATAATAGGGTGGAGGGGTGGCACTCTAATTTTCAAACGCCCTCCATTCAGTAAACTTGAAAATATCTACAACTGATTGAAAAAAAGTCAAGTTCTACAGCTAACGTACCTAATATTATGGATTAAATTAGATTAAATTTAAGATTAAATTTTTCAGTGCATGAAGGGAAGGGAAAGTCCTACCCTGTTCAATAGACTATAATCAAAGGGTCACTATAGCACTTGAAAAAAAATAATGAACAGCACAGTATACTAACAATATAATTAATTAATCGTCTTAGGAAACCATCTCTTGATTGATGAAACGAAAAATTGCAATTTGTCAAAACTATATAGTATCCGATTTTTTCCCCCCTGTCCTCTTGATCCAAATTTTCCTCTATTTTAGGTCTAAATAACACATTGACAGTGAAAATACTAAATCTCGTATCTCGGTTTGCAAAGTTGGAGACTTCCTATCATACGTAGATAAAAAAACTACGCAACATATCAATTCTTGAAAACTTCCGCGATTTTCCTTCTTTAAGGGAAGAGGACTCCGTGTAAACCTCAAGGAATAATATTGGTTTTTTGCTCGGAAGGAGAAGGGTGCATAAGATGCGTTCACTCGTGTTGGACACATTTTTTGCGTAAGCCCTATCAACACTGCTGGCAAAAGTTCAGTTCCGTAACCCTATCTCTGTGGGGACAAGACCTTTCATCTGTAAGAAATAAACTAAAAAATTGAGAAAGAACAAACATAAATGTGATTTAATAATTTTAACTTCCGCCGCCGTACCGCGCTGACCACACTGTGTTTGGCGCAATGCGTGAAGTATTCATGTAGTCTTGTAGGCACTGTGCGTTTCACGCCGCGCCGACCGCTGTTGACCGTACTGTGTTTGACGCAATGCGTGAAGTATTCATGCAGTCTCGTAGGCGTTAATATGTGTTACATGCCGACCGCCGCGTCGAGGGTTCCTCCTCTTCATCTCAAGTCCTCGTCATCATTTCTTTTTGCGCCGCGCCGCTCCAGGCCAAATTACGTGTTTGGTTTCTCTCTTAACTCAACTAATTGAAGTGCGCAATCTTTTGTATCACAGAAATACGACAAAATTAGAAATTAATGATCTCACAGGAAATGAGAGATTTTGTCACCCTTTTCTGAATCCGATTTTTTGTGTACCTGCATTTAAAAAAATTGCAAAATTTGCCGCCCCCTAATTTTGCCGCCATGGGCCGTGGCCCATTTGGCCACCCCCTTAATCCGGCTCTGGGGAGTGGAGATTTTTAAACACAGCTAGCGAGACACGTGGTTTGGTATTTTCACCGTCGCTACACACCCCTCTTACGGGCAATGGAGTATTCTGGTTACTCTTATATATTTCCTTGATCCGATGTCGTTACAAGTTGACCAATTCGCCGTTTCCTTCACGAAAGAACGTATCTGCATTACAATGTTGCCAAATTTCCCCTCGAAAATTGAATTTTTAAAAGGAGAATCTCGGGCATTTCTAACTGAAATTCTCACTGGTTTTCCCTCTAATCTCATGCAAAATCAAAAAGAAATTTGAACAAAAATTGCACAGGTACCTATATATTTTGGTAAAAAACTGAAATTTTAGAGTCAATTTTGCAACCTTGCAATGAAGTTACGTCCCTTCGTCCGGAAAACGACGAATTGCATTGTTTTGAAGAACTATCCATAAACCGCAAACTTATCGCCATTGGTGGGTATTTAAATGAATTATAACTTTTTCAGGTGCTAAAAACCCTCCGAGAGTCCCAGCTGCTAAACATTCTGGAACAACATGGAAGACATTTTGGAATTGAAACCGGAAATCAAACTTGAGAGTGAAATTGACGTTAGTGATCTCGAAGACTGTGCAGAGTCTAACACAGGTGTGATATCAAATACAATTGCTCGTGGTTGAATTATTTTAAGTACTGAACAGCCTTTAAAGGAAGATAAAAATGAGCCGCGTTCATCATAAAGATTTTAGTCCTCTTTTCATGGTGACATTGACATCAGTTCCAATGATCTGCCTGCAGATCATTTCAAGGCCCTGATGAGCCCTGAAAATTAGCTCTGGTCCTTACAATTATTACGACGAATTATTGATTGCCAAATCCATCAAAAATTATTCGAACAGAAGAAGAAGTATGAAAATACCTAGCCGTATGTGATTCATTATGATACTAACATTCTGACCCGATTTAACATTTCGTAGTTATCCAGAACTAAGGTCTGAGGTCCCTGTGTCATCATCTTTCCCTGTTCATAATGCCCTAACATAATGCACACCGATGTTCACTGATTACATATTGAGGATTGATTTCCATCATAATATTTCTACGAGATTCATCGTCATGTTTTCTTTATTTTTCTGCGCAACAGTGTACATGACTACATGAGCAATGATCTATTCTACCTTCTCATGGTCAAATATTTGACTTAAAATACATGACAATCATTATGGTGTGTTCAGAAGAAATGCCTTTCATTTTATAAGGTTTTCTGAAACTCAAGTGGAAAGCGTGAACCGAATTGCTTCTTAGCATGAAATTTCTCGTAAATATCGTAAATTATATAAAGGCTGCTGGCAGATTCTTTGACATTATATATAAATAAGAGCGTTTGTTAAATGTTTCAACCGTTGGGTTTTTCAGATATTTCAAAAAATACAGAAGGAGTGTTTCATAATATAAAATCTGATATCAATTTTGAGACGGAGCCTATGAAGCGCGTCCCAGAATGTAGCACAGGTTTGTTAATAATTTAATTTTTAATTCGTTTGACATGAAGAAAGTTTTTTAACGAGATAAAACCGGAGAGTAATTATTTTCAAGGATTAATAAGCTATTCGATTGAAGTGATTGGTCTGATCATATGTGATACGGTGGCCATGACCGACATTTTCGACCCTCTTTCGTCTTCCCTTCTGGACTTCAACAATTATTCGTGGCAAGAGCCATGATAACGGGTCAATGGTGCGATTGAAGGGAGGGGGGGATGTAAATTAAAAGGGTGTTTAATTTATCCCGCACACCTCGAGGATTTCTGTGAAACATCGGTCTCTTGCCCCCATTTTTAATGATTACTCAATGAACCATTACAAGATTGATCTATTTAAGCTATGATTAGTGAATTTATTTCGAACTGTACATAATATCAAATTAGTAAATTACTCAAGGGGGCACGCTGGGGGGGGATGGGGGCGAGTACTGAGAATCCGCCGGATGAATCCGTTTTTTAAGAGATTCTCAGAGTAAAGGCAGGTGTACATAGTGTAGAATACTTGTCACATATATAGGTAGGATTGTAATTGAAATATTGGTTCCCATTTCAAAGAGAAATATTTTGCGAACAATTTGGCACTGAAACCTACAAATGCCAAATGTGCCTGGAGAAATGACGGTTTGAAATCTGCAGTTTCAAAATGTAATTTTGAGAAAAATCTATTAAGCGCTCAGCCGATAGGCAGCGCTTTTTGATTTCGACTTGCCTCTGAGTACTAGTATACTAGTGCTAACGTTTAAATGGCGCACCAGCTAATCGATGTGTAGGCTTTTTGGGGGGGTCCATTTTTAAAATAAATAAAGCTGTGAAAACTGTATTTTATGATTTTAACGTAATGCGCAGGTAGTTTCGATCGTTTGTCTATAAGAAAATGTCTTAGCGGTAGAGTAATTCTTATCGAAATTGATCGTTGAACTCTAATGAAGCCTAAAAGAAACGCGCCTGATGAGCTCAACGGTGAGCTCGTTTTCGGGAAACAAAAATACGCGTTTACGGTTTCCTTGGTAACCTTTCTTTGCTATCAGCTGATGTTTTATTTCCATTTTCCAGCCAAGTCGACGGAGTTTATACGTCCTTTCTTCATTAAATACATTTACGAACACCTGAGCGCTTTTCTAATACGACAGTATTAGAACTTTCCCGCTTGTTTAAAATCTCAAATTGTCATGGTCAGGGCCCAAAATTATCGGGTAAAAACTGTAACTTCGAGTCCTCTATTGCCACAATTATGACCATAACTGTTCTTAACTTATTATTTCACTAGGAATACTGCAGGAAGTTTTCCATCAACAACTCAAAAACCATGCACTTTGATTCAACGTGTCAAAAATACCTCTCCTGAAAATATCACCCCCGGGGACCAATTGTAATTTTAAATTGTCTTCTCTCGAAACAACGAGATTTTAACTATTTCCAGCCGTTACAATTCCAATTTGATGAGACAGTTTTGGGCGAATTAAATCTCGCAATATGTTTGTCAAGCACTCCTCTATGTTTTGGTATCAAAAACTCGATTTTGATTTTTTGAGATATTCAGTTCTCCAATTCCCATGAACTGCCTTATATCCATCCACGGCTAAGTGTTTAGCACCGTTTTCTCTCCAAAATTATCAAAAAATATTTTTGAGTCGATTAAGCAAAATCATAGGGAATAAAGTGCGATTACGATGAAGAGTCGTCCTTCAGAGAGTAGAATATGGCTGGAAATTTGCAAAGTCTAACAAAAAACAAAAAAAAACAAAAACAAAAAAAATAATCATTTAATCTTAATATATAAAATGTTGGATATCTTATTTTCAGCTTTTTCTGACGAAACTGGAGCTAATAGTTTATGTATTTTACCGGAGAAGCCAGTCCCAGCTCTGGAAAGAATGAACTTGGAAATGGCGGCCACCGATTCTTCTTCGAAAAATGTCATCCTAAACGATGGTGTCACAATGACAAAATTTCAGGAAATAATGGAAATAAAAAAGACGCATATCGTAAATAATCACTCACAAAATCGATCATTTGTTTGCGGTCATTGCTCAAGAATCTTTAAGACCAAAAAATTGTTAAGGAGACATGTTACACGAACTCACAGTAATGATCGACCTTTTGTTCGTGGTCAATGCTCAAGTAAATTTAAGACGAAAGGGACTTTAAAATGTCATGTTATGCAAAAGCATGGTGATGATCGACCTTTTGTTTGTGGTCAATGCTATAGTAAATTTAAGGCGAAAGGGACTTTAAAATGTCATGTTATGCAAAAGCATGGTGATGATCGACCTTTTGTATGTGGTCAATGCTCAAGTAAATTTAAGGCGAAAGGGATTTTGAAATGTCATGTTATGCAAAAGCATGGTGATGATCGACCTTTCGTTTGCGGCCAATGCTCATGCAAATTTAAGACAAAGGGGACTTTAAAAGAGCATGTCGTGGGAATTCATAGTGATGATCGACCTTTTGTTTGCGATCAATGCTCAAGTGAATTTAAGACAAAAAGGACTTTAACACGTCATTTCGTGGGAATTCATAGTGATGATCGACCTTTTGTTTGCGGCCAATGCTCATGCAAATTTAAGACAAAGGGGACTTTAAAAGAGCATGTCGTGGGAATTCATAGTGATGATCGACCTTTTGTTTGCGATCAATGCTCAAGTGAATTTAAGACAAAGGGGAATTTAAAACGTCATGTCGTGGGAATTCATAGTGATGATCGACCTTTTGTTTGCGGCCAATGCTCATGCAAATTTAAGACAAAGGGGACTTTAAAAGATCATGTCGTGGGAATTCATAGTGATGATCAACCTTACGTTTGCGACCAATGTCCAAGCAAATTTAAGAGAAGTGGACATTTAAAACGTCATGTTCAGGAAACCCACATTAATGATCCACTTTTTATTTGTTGTCAATGCTCAAGAAAGTTTAAGAGAAATGTAACTTTAAAACGACATGTTATAGAATCCCATGGTGATGATCTGGTTTTTAAAAATGGTCAGAACTCAAACGAATTTAAGACGACAAAAGTGACTTTAAAATGTCATAATATGCAAAAGCATGGTGATGATCGATCTTTCACTTGCGACCAATGCCCGAGCAAATTTAAGAGCAGCAATAATTTAAAACGTCATGTTAAGGAAACCCACATCGAGAATTAACTTTTTGTTTGTGATCAATGCTCAAGAAAGTTCAAGAGAAGAAGAACTTTAAAATGCCATGTCATGAAAACCCACGGCGATGATCCACTTTTTATTTGTTATCGGCGCTTATTAAGCAAATTTAAGACAGAAGGAACCTTAAAATGTCATATTATGCAAAAACACGGTGATGATTGACCGTTTTTTGCGACCAATGCTCTAGCAAATTTAAGAGAAGTGAAATTTTAAAACGTCATGTCATGAAAACCCCCGGTGATGATCGAATTTTTGTTTGTGGTCAATGCTCAAGCAACTTTGAAACAACAGGAGTCATTCTATGCAAAGCCATAGTAATAATGGACCACTAGACAAGGTACGAATTTCAGCATTCTGATACATGTTTCCTAACCAGAATTTATCGTGGAACACGATTTGCGCAACGAAAATTACTGAAATCAACTCTTAAGGAAGATATTAACGTTTTTCTTTCACATTGGTTACGAGGAATTTGAAAGGCCCGCTCGCAAGAAACTCAAAGCTCTACGTGAGTCAAGTCGCGCACCACAACGGTTTCAGCGAGCCTCTCAATCGAGCAATGCTCATTTCCCACCATGTGTTGTTCAAACTATAAGCAATTTGCTATAACTGAGCCAAAGCGTCGAGATTGAGGTTGCCAGATTTTTATATCGCAGAGACTGTCATGTTAACGTTTAGCGCGCGATATGAATCACGTATACCATTCAGTTTTCATGAGCGGGTGGTTTGAATTTACGCATCAAGAATCATTTAATTTCTTCGTAAGGAGTTGATTTCGGTAATTTTTGCTGTGCGCATCGTGTTCTACGTGAAATTTCGGTTAAGAAACCTGATCAGAATGCTGAAATTCGCACCTTGTCAAGTGATCCATTGCTTTTCTATTCGCGGCCAATACTCAAAGATTTAAAACACAAGGAGCTCTCAAGGGTCACATTGTAGACTTGCACAAAAAATGCAAAGAACCGTCAAAAAAGGTCGTAAATAATGAAATAAAAAGAGCCTATAAGCACCATCTATTGCACATTCATACACATACACACATAATATTGAACTTTTATTGGAACCACTGCCTGCCTCGTCAAATGGCAAACGCATCATTTAGGTATCCCCAAGTAAATATAATATGTTAATCTATTTTCAAAACGGATGAGACAATAAAAAAAATATACATTGATAATTTTATAATAATAGTTTGTAATCTGATATAACTTGCACAACGCAGAACAGAGTAACTTTCGTGAAAAAGTGGTTTCTCAACTCTGCAATTTAGACTATGGAGGCACGTATCAAAAGATGCGCCAGTGAATGAATTACACACAAATTGTTGAGTGGGTTGTTTTTAAACAACAAACGTCTCATATTAGCCTATTGATGTATGATTCAACAGAACTCTCGACGAAATAAACTGTACTATTATGATTCAAATTCATCATCAAATACATTTCTGAAACATGTTATATTGCCTATTTTTTCATTTAAATAAATTATTTGTATCAACTACTTACCGAACTTGAGTCTAATTTAGATTCGCGTTGTTTGCGTTAAAAAGCTAAGTTCTATAAAATTTCCGGATTCTCCGGATTTTCTTTCTTCTGTTTGTCCCGTTTATGTCGCTATCGGAACTCCGAATTCATACCGCGCGCGCCCTGGCTCGGAAATCCGGATTTCGAGTGATGAATGAGCTTAGCTACTGGTTGACATTTATATTTCAAACGCCACGAACATGACATCATACTAATATCGTGAGGAGGAGAGGAAACATAAATTCGCAATAATTTCTCATGCATTTAAAGACTATAGCTAGATTCCCACCCGACCGAAAGCTCCTTTCCAAAGGGGGCCTCATTTCCCGCTGAACGAACTCTTCACACGCACAGGTGACACGTTTTTGATTTGTAGCTGACTAGCTGACCGAGGAGACATAATTTTTACGACGTCAGGCGCGCATTTAAATCATATTCCCGGATACTGGACTGCCTTTGGTGGAGTCTGAAACCGCAACCCTATTCCGCAAACCCTATATTCTCACGCACCGTGGGCAACACAAAATTTTTTAAAAAAATCACGGAGTGTGAAATGAGATTTCCAAAATAGGTCGTGGACTTTGGCTGATCCAGTGGCGTGGCGTGCTTTATGCGATACGTCGATTGATCTGCCAGTTAAACCTATGGAAAATTATAAGTATCGATGAACAGGGGAAGTAATCGCAACAAACATCTTACTAATCGATTTTTTACCACAGCTTCAAATGGGGGAATATCGATAAATTGATCATTCACGCCTCGCTACTGGCCCAATCTATTTTGTCTCATCAAATGGAACTTTCTTACATTACAAGAATGGAGATGTTGCATGTGTGAGGGATTTGCGATTTGACCAGTGATTCCAATGTAAAAGTTCGCGAGAAACACGATGGTGCCACTGGTTGGGGAAATCATCTCCCAAGCTCAAAAAAAGCTCTCAAAGTGGGGCCAAAATTGAGGGGATATCCCACGCTATCCTGAGAGTCCACTTCTACATCAAGACAAACTCTCTATGCGAAGATAGGGAGCAAATACATTGACAGGGCTGCCACTTTATTAGGGGACTCCACAACTGAAAACACGGCAACCCTGCTAATGTATTTGCTCCCTATCTTTACATGGATAGTTTGTCTTGATGTAGAGGTGGACTTTCAGGATAGCGTGGGATATCCCCTCCATTTTGGCCTCAACTTGAGAGCTTTTTTTGAGCTTGGGAGATGATTTCCCCAACCAGTGGCAACCAGTGGCCAGTGGAAAAACCAGTGGCACCATCGTGTTTCTCGCGAACTTTTACATAAGAATCTATGGTCAAATCGCAAATCCCTCACACATGCAACGTCTCCATTGCGAATTTAGCTCCTGTTGATTCATGAAGTGCGATAGAATCAGTCGGTTTTGCATCAAAATGGGTATGTTGCAACCTTTTGCGACGGCAAAAAAGTAGAGTTCCAAATCTGCATGAGGCGCGCTCAAGATGATTCGACGGTTGTCATTTTTTGTGACAGAGCGACGTGCGATGTATCGCATCACTTCGTTCCATAAAGTCAGCTACTTGTCATTTTGTTCGAATTTTGAAATCGCACTTCTGTTGTCATGAAACTAAAGAATTCATGTACCAATTTTGACAAAGAAATTCAACGTATTAGAGGCAGGGTTTTTTTTAGAGGAAAATTATGGCATTCGATACTGGTATCGAAACTGCACTTGCGAATGCGATATTTTTCCTCTGAAAGAACCCTGCTTCTGATACGACGTTGAATTTTTTTGTCGAAGTTGGTACATGAATTCTTTAGTCTCATAACAACAGAAGTGCGATCTCAAAATTCGAACAAAATGAGAAGTAGATGAAATTATAGAACAAATTGATGCGATATATCGCACGTCGCTCTGACACAAAAAATGGCAACCGTTGAATCACCTTAAGTATTCCACCATAAAAAGTACACTGCGCGGGGAAGACACAAATTAATATAAAATATATCTTCTGGTTTTTCACACTGCTCTCTCACGACGCGACGCTAGTTTTTTTTCTTTTTAAAAAATAAAGACGAATTTCGTTACTTTAGCAGAACCATTCAATTAATTTAAATTAAAAAAATTAAAATCGACTAGATAATTTTAATTTTTTAAATTCATTCATTACGGTGAAATCAAATTATGAAAGGAGCTCGATTTTCAAAATTTGGTTGTTACTACGTATTGCCCTCTTCAGTAACTCAACAGCATTGTTTCAACGTGACGAGAAAAGGATAAAAGGACCGCCAAAGGCTATGAGGATATCGAGCGTCACAACACCGCTCCTCTGACGTAAGAACGTATCTCGATTTCAGCTTGAGCCCTAGAAAGTATGCATTTATATGTGATACAAGGCTCACGTGAAAATTGCGATACGCCCTTACTTCAGAGGAGCGACGAGAAGAGGACCGCCCGGACCCGAAATAAAGCTTTCAATGCGGCTTAGATCCGCGGCGAAAGGTCGGGGCGGCGCACAGTGGATCGAGTCAACATGAGAGGTCGGACAAAATTTGGAAACTTTAAACGCATAGGTATAACTCCACTCATACAAAATTTTGAGGTTCTGAAAGTGGTTCCATTGGTTTCCTCGTGAAATTTTCTTCCAAAAACACCCCTTGAAATGCCAAATGTGACGAAATAAACATCAAAATTTGCAGTTTAAGTCAAAATTTCATGTCCGACCTCTCTAATGGAGATGTTGCATGTGTGAGGAATTTGCGATTTGACTGTTGATTCTTATGTAAAAGTACGCGAGAAACACGATGGTGCCACTGGTTTTCTCTGAAATCATCTCCAAAGCTCAAAAAAAGCACTCAAAGTGAGGCCAAAATGGAGGGGATATCCCACCCTACCCTGAGAGTCCACCTCTACATCAAGACAAACTCTCTATGCATCGATAGGGAGCAAATACAATGACAGGGCTGCCACTTTATTTGGGGACTCCAAAACTGAAAACACGGCAACCCTGTCAATGTATTTGCTCCCTATCTTTGCATGTAGAGTTTGTTTTGATGTAGAGGTAGACTCTCAGCATAGCGTGGGATATCCCCTCCATTTTGGCCTCAACTTGAGAGTTTTTTTCGAGCTTGGGAGTTGATTTCAGAAAAAACCAGTGGCACCATCGAGTTTCTTGCGACCTTTTACAAATGAATCAACAGTCAAATCGCAAATTCCTCGAACATGCAACATCTCCATTAGAGAGGTCGGACATGGCATTTTTGACTTAAACTGCAAATTTTGATGTTCATTTCGTCACATTTGGACGTATTTCTACCAAACAGACCTATGTGGAGGTGAGAAATATAAGGTGTGTTCGTTAGTTCTCTGGCCGTACGAGTGAATGGGAATAATAAAGCGCCAGTGACGTCAGCGGCAATGAAGGAGCCGCAGCGCGGCGGAGAGATCGTTGGAGGGAGTCTTTAACTCATGAGCCCTGTCCACAACGCTCTCTTGCCATCCTCGCGGCTCATGAGATCCTCATTCAGTTGGCACATAGGTCTGTTGATAGAATGCAATATCCCGCTTTTCCAATTCTTCAAAAGGAACCACGCCCACTTTTACATTGCTTCTTATGCAGCTTCCTAGAGCACACCCCATGTTTCTCACCTCCGCATAGGTCTGTTTGGTAGAAATACGTCCATTTCAAGGGGTGTTTTTGGAAGAAAATTTCACGAAGATACCAATGTAACCACTTTCGGAACCTCAATTTTTTTTATAAACGGAGTTATAAGCGTTTAGCAACATCTTCATTGACTCGATCCACTGTGCGGTGGACGGGGCAGATAGATGGGAAATAGGAGCGGAAGTAGGAGTTAAGAGGATGGGAGTCAGCTGTTGCGACTGCGGGCAGCAAAGGCTTGAGGCGGCCGCGAGGGTGGGGGAGGG